CGAAGGGCAACGAGAACAAGAGTCCAAAGGAACCAAAGGAACCTAAGGAACCTAAGGAACCTAAGGAACCCAAAAATCCCAAAAATCCCAAAAATCCCAAGAACAAAAAAGATAAGTAGAAGAATGCTTGACTGGACTTTGAATCTCATCTGCACTTGTTCCGAACCACAGAGTTTTGGTTTTCCTAAAGTGTCAGCCAAAACAGTGCCATTCGCAACATGTTTCAATTTTAATGTTGTTTTTTCCCCAAAAAAAAACTGTTCCCATTCCCAGAATCTTGCAGCTCAGGATCTGTCTTCGCAATGAGGTGGCTGCGTCCAGGATGCTGCAAGCCTCGTAGCGTGCAAATGTTGATCTATCAACATGGCTGAAAGCTGTGCACCCTGTTGCTTTAGATTTTGTCTCGTGGCCCAGTCAACTCTTTTAGTGTTATCATCTCACATGTCAAATATACAAGGTGTAAAAAATCAAAGTCTTCATCGTTCCAGATTCCAAGAAAATAAGATCTTCATAGCCAGTCTGTATCACCCTGGGCCCAGCTTTTGGAAATTAGGCGTGGGAATCTTAGATTCTATGGACGTGTTCCTAGCAGCTTCTGCGGGGAGAGCGTATCTGACATGATATGCCATATATGCAGATCGAGCTGATGGCTATAGATTACGGTTCCTTCCCTAGCTGGGGATCATACATTGAACATGCAGCTGTGTGCGCGTGCCGGGAGAAAAGCTGGAGAACCCCCATGCTGACAGAACCCACAACTTGATGGAAATTCAGCAAAGGGACAGATGCATACTCGCACATGCCAGGGCCATCAGAAGCAGCTCTCGATATGGCATGGAGCTATGCTAAGGGCGCCCCTTGTCTCTTTCTGAGTGTGAAGGTGTGCATCTGGAAATTTCTCATCTCTGGTTTGGACCCTTGAAATTTTGAAATGCATTGAGATGCCAAAAAAATGATAGTATTGTTTTTTCGGCTCATCGATGTGCAAATGCCTTTGGAACATTTGAAAAGACTCCAACACTGTCGCCTCAACTCGGGAGTCATATTCTAACTGAGGCACCTTGCACTGAGATCATCCAGAGAGCAAATTCTACAATTGATTATGACCTACGTGATCAACATGAGACCTTGGAGAGACCAGCGAAGATGGCCAGGGTGTGTCCCGTTCTTTGGGATCTCTATCACTCTGACTTCAACAAATCTGACACCAAAACTGTTATTAATTGCAACATTTTACACCTCACCAGGGTCTATACGGGTCATATCAAATTCCGGGTTTATTGACAATGGATAGCTATTTTTGGGACCTCTTCATCACACATGGGCTATGAAAGCACAAAATGTCTTTTTATCTGACCACATTTTTCCTTTAAAGGTTTGCTCTGTTTGCCATAGTTCTGACTCACTCTAGGAAGATCGGGTTTCTGATGCATTCCTTCGGCACGGTCTTCGATTGGGGGTTCAGGTTTCCAAAGGAAAAGTTGGTGATGACCCCAATTTTCCCTACATCAAAGTGGCTTCCTGGATACAGACTTTGGATGACCATGGAAAGCTTGACCGACTTTTGGGGTTGGGTGCAAACGTTCGAACTTTGAAGGATGCTGGCAGCTCCCTTGAGGAGTTTTGGTCCCGCTACCAGTTGATGCATGGGGGCCACGAAGTGTTTGAGTTGGCACGGTCCAACAAAATAGATCTCAGATCAGCTCTTCCGATTTATCTTCATGGTGACGAGGGTACCACATACAAAAAAGATGGATGTTTATGCCTAAGTTTTCATTGCCCCCTGGGCCGTGGCACTGCTAACAACAAACTGGGTCCGATCGCAAATGAAGAAGTCCTAGCAGATCCACATCTGAATTTTCTAGGACATGCTTTCGAAACACGATTCCTACTTGGTGCGTTGCTGAGGGTGTTTTGGTTCAAGTTTGATAGCAACAATTTTAAATTGTTTTGGTTGTTTTTGTGAGGGCTGTAGCTTTCAAACATTACCCAGCACATCTCTAAATCCTGACATTACTGTCATGTATGATTGCTGCATCTGAGGAAGACTATCGTGACAGCAAGGAGGTGATGCATGACTTGTTGGCGTTGATTGTGAAGTCTGTGGACTATGCCTCTCGGAAAGGTATACCTTTGAGTTCGGGTGGGAGGCTTCACCTCATTCCTCTTGGCAACAAAGGGGACTGGCCCTATTTGGACACTTGTTACAGGTTTGGTTGATTTTGAGTTTTTGGGTTTGCCCCAAGCTAGTTTTAGCAAGTTTACACTTTATCACCATTGTTGTGAGAGTTGATTTCAATTCTGGAAACGAACACGTTAGGCTAGTGCAGCCAATCTCTCGCGATCTTTCCGCAATGTGGCCAAAGCACCAACTAGCCGGAAACCCTGCACGGGAATTTGCCACCTTTGCTGCAGCGGGAGACCCCACCTTGATTACGAAGATGTGTCAGTTGGTTTTAGTTAGAAATGAATGTTGTTTATTTCCCAGTAAGCTTTTCTTATTAGCCCATGTTTCAATAGAAGGTGTTTATCCTTTGAATTGTTCAACACAACACAAGGTCTGAGACCCCTCCTTTCTACCACACCATGCACACCGAAGTTCCTTGGGAGGAGGAGGCCATTTTCACTACAACGTTGATGCATGACAAGGACAAAAAAGCGGACTTTCACAAGATAGACTTGTTCCATACGGTGAGCCTTGGGATTGGAAAGCAGTTTGCAGCCTCAAGCCTATCCATTTTGCAATCAATTTGCAATGGGAGTTCGGTCGAGAAAAGGTTGCAGTCATTGTCCAGCGTTTTCATCGAGTATTGCAAAGAATCTTAGCAAAATGAAAAAAAAATAATTCTACCGTTTTTGATTTACCTTGGGGTGTTGCTGCAGGTGTGTTTGGGGGGTTAGTCTTGTTGTGGTTATGAAACTGATTTGTCACCTTTTGAGGAAAATGGGAAGACCAATTACATCAACAAAATAGATCGTTCTACGCTCTCTTGGAGGGGTGCTGAAGAGCCGACTGGGGGTTGGAGCAAGGGGGCCCTGACGACAACCGTGTGCCAATTCATTGAGTTTTTTGCAAAGCTTCATGATTTGGAACATTCCATGGACGAGCGCTTGCGTTTGATTGTTGCTTAGGATTGGTTTCAGTGGCATAGTTTCCCATAGTTGGCTGGTACATGTTGGTTTTGATGTGAATTTCTGGATTTTTCCTTTTAAATTGGGAACCATCACAAGGCATCTGCCAGCAGGGCATTGAACTACTGGATGTCCAATCTGTTCAAGCACAACTTTTGGATAGCTTCAGCACAGGCTAAAGGGCTTAATTCAGCAGGTGAGCACTTTCTCCGTGCTTACTCAAGACTGCTCTGTTGAGCTACCGTTTGGGGGAGCAACGATTTGGAATAAACCCAAAGTTGCATATGCTGTGGCACGTTTGGCGGTGGATGAAAGATCAGGCAGACAACTGCCCTTGGGTTGAAAACCCCATGGCACAATCATGTGCTTCAGATGAAGATTTCATTGGAAGATATTGTTTATTGACAAGATGTGTCAATCCTAGAACCCGAATACTACGTAGTTTGCAACGCTATATGACTCAAGTGTTGCTAATTTGGATGCACTTGAAGCGAAAGGGATGAGGTGCGCTGGGGCTGGAAAAGGCGTGCTAACCCGTGCTGACATGTAAACCCGTGCTGACCCGTGGTGAGGTGTAAAATGGCATGTTGAGGTGTAAATTTAATCAGGATTTACAAATACAACCTATATTCTAAAATGCTACTTGAATAGGAACCCACAAAGGTTACCAGGTATATATATGTATAAATGATATATATATATATATATCATAAATATATATATATAGAAATATGCTAGTCAAGGCCAAGAGACGTTGCAGAAAACATGTTTCTTGAGACGATTTTGATTATAGCAGCCCAAGAAAAATATCCAAAAAAGAACATTTCTACAGTCAATAAATCATGGTATCTTAATTACTTGTCCATCATGTGGTTGGGAAACTCAATTCGTAGCTCCGAACTGCTCGGAACTGCTCCCTCCTGACTTTCGGGACAGTTGTGGTTGGAGGTTATGCTCTGGTGAAAATGGCCCATTTATACTTTATGGATGGTTTACCTATGAAAGATATACCCTCCAGTAAATCAACATAGACCCTGGCAAATAGGGGTTGGAAGATTAGTTTACCCTCAAAATTGCTGATTTTCAGGGTCAAACTGTTAATTTACCAGATGGTGATCATTTTCATCATTTTCCATAGCTCAACATCTGGTTATGACTAACAGTTCGCCATGGAAAATCACCATGGCTATTAGGGCCCCCCCGGGTCCGAATAGTCCGACGGAATGGTCACCTCAGAACGGCTGACCCGGCCGGCGCTGGTGGAAACATGGTGGTTTCTGTGTTGCTTGGAGCAAGAACTGGGGTTCAACCAGCTAAGAAATATGGATTTGATATATCAAGAGTGGTTAAATTGTGGATTCGAATGAATAGATTTAAAGACTTTAAGGGAAAATCCAAAGGAAACCTCGGTTTTTCCCTTCAACCGATCCCGGATGAAAGTTTAGCAAACGGGATTGGAATCATATGTCATGTTTGCCCCAACAAACATAACCTTGTAGAAAATCCATATTCGAACTGAAAATCTGTGACTGGATATTTAATTGATTTCCCAATGCCAACTGCTTCAAACCTGCTGTCTCCCTCCCTGCCTGACTTCGTGAATTCTGAAACCCCATTTTGTCAACTCGTCACCTCTTCTGAGCCCGCTATAATTTACAAATATGTGCATGTGTGTTTATAATATATATATATGCTGTATATATATATATGGTCTGTGTATATAAATATATATATGCTGTATACATATATATATATATATGCTGTGTATATGCTGTGTATATATATATATGCGTGTGTTGTGTATGCTCTACATTTACAATCATTTACATATATACAGATATATACACTATATATATATATCTCTCTCTCTATCGCCTATAACATATGTTATGAATATGTTCTGCATATCCAAAGGTGTGAAGGTCTCCGAAGTTCTGCCGCCGTGTGGCATGGGATTTCAAGGCCAGCACCACGCTGGCGGTTAAGATCTCGCCGCTGCGATAATCTACAGCACCTCATGGCGGGGCCGAGGGCGGCAAACGGTGGCCTGGGGTGAAGTGACCATCTGAGCTATAACTTGTAACTTATAACCATCATTAACATTAACAATATTATAATGATATATATATATATCATTATAATATTGGATTCTAAGTTATAAGTTACAGAAACTAACAGAATTTGATGGCTTAAGAACATCTACTACAATTTTATATGAAAATCGTCTAGCTACAGTTTGGAACAAGAGCCAAGGTGCTGGGACCATATCCCAGCAGCCCTTTCGTCGATGGGTTGGTCATGAAAATGGCAATGTGCCGCCCATCACCAGCTTCGTACTCCTCCTGGGCAAGTGGATAAAAACCAATAGCAAGATATAGCAAGAAATTACATCACCCCATCCCCAGCAATATGAAATACCCCACATCACCCAAAATGAAGAGATCCACTTCGAAACAATGGTATCTAGATGGATATATATTAGGGGGAAGGAACACGTTAAGGCATGTTAAGACCATGTTCCAATTCCATGTTTGATTTCCGGAAAATACACCAAGTGGGTGTGGCCCTGGATGTGGCTCTTCAAATAAGGGCGTTTCCCCGTTTTCCCTAAAGTCATTGTTATTCGGGTTTGACATTTAGGAGTCTAGCCCCTTATCTTCTTCAAAACAAGTTGACCAGTTCTTCCCTACTAGTACTATATACATGTTGGTTTTGATTTGGCGCGGCAAAGCAGAAGTACTCGTATGTTTTTGTTCTGTCTTTCTGATGGATGACATTGGATGACTATCTCCGAGATTCTGGATACTCATCATCCCCGGGTGCCACGCAGAGCACCAACGGCAAGGGATCACTGCGATCAGTCGCACCGCACAAAGTCTCCTCATGGCCCGGGGGATCCCCGCGGGGCTCGTGGGCGTGTTGGTGGATGTAAGGGGAGAATTTAAAGGACACCATGTCTGTCACGCCTCAGAAAAGGGATACTTTGGGCAGGTCCGAAAGTTCCTACAATTGTCTCCAATTTGTTGGTTCAACCAAAAAAAAGTGCACTTGGATGCATATGGATGCATTACATACATGAACATTTAGATAGTTACTAGTGCCAGCGGAGGTTGAAAAAGAGAGTGGCTGATAATTTCGACCCTCCGGAAAGCCATCAGTCCAAAGGAGGGATGGAAGAGGCACCAAGACCCACAGATCTGACGGTGAAATCATATGGAATCCCCAGCGCTGCCCAGCGCTGGGAAACCCATCCGAACCATGAGGGTCTCAAATCCCCACGACCGCGAATTGGATTAGTAGCTTCAACCTCCTGAGAATAGTCAAGCTTTGGTGGCCCCAAATAGCAATGAACCAGCAACCGGATAATCGGGCATAGCTTCGTTCCAAGCCAGCACGCCCTTCTTGATGGTTTCATGATAGATCTCCGGCACAGACTTGTCGATAACCTCAGCGTTCAGTCTCACTTATACATCTTATATGTCCCAAATTTGAATCATTTGGGGTGTTCGACATCACTTTTTTGGTCAAACGTGACATGTTCTGCAGCTAAATCCGTCAGAGGTTGAAAATGGTCGAGTCATCATGGCCTTCGGACGGCTCTGGGTGCCTTCATCTTGGAAATTTGCCTAGTGATGGACGCAGAGATCCCGTCGGGATTTCCAAATATCAAATTGTCTTGCTGGGAGCTGGAAAGTGCTTGTGCAGTGGAGCAACGTATTGGAGCTGCTTCCGCCTTTCCAAGTTCCACTTGGAGATGACGTATTGCACCTCGCCACCCATTTTTGCCGCAGAAAATGGTGCTGACATGTCAAAATGCGGCAACGACCCAAGCCAAAGAGGGCCTATATGCAAACAGTTTAGTTTCGACCAAAAATGCCCTAATTTTCAAGACAAATTTAGTGCAAATTCGCGTAACAACTGTGGTGCCGTGTTCATCAGTTCTTATCAGTTTTGTTTGAACAGTTTTTATCCGTGTTCACTTTCCCATTTTTCCAGATTCTTCCTGACAACAGCATGGCAACGCCACGGCAACACCCATTGCAGCGCCAAGTAGCTGTTGTGGCTTGGGTGGGTCCACCCACCAGGATGGGCGTCGTAAAGAATCCCACCCTGGTCAATTTTGTCAATCAGGGGATCGATCATTGGAAAGGGTGGACATGGATGCTAAATGGATCCAAATGGTTGGTCTCTCTCTCTCTCTCTCTTCCATCTAAAAATCTAGAACAAGATGCATTCCAAGACGCTGAGGTTTTGATATGTAGATTTGTCAATTGATGTGTTTTGATTGTTTTGATTGCTCTTGCAAGTCCTCCGTTTAACGTGAGGCCGAGAAAAAAAACATTCTGTGGCGCTCCCTCTGCCTGGCATCTGAGGCCCGAGGGGTCATGGCTTCGGCCGGCAGGGAAGCAAAAGCGACCTGGTCGGAAGAAAAACATGATGCGAAATCAGGGTTGCTCCCAGCCCAGCTACAAGGCTAGTATAAATTATATTATTACTGTATATCATCAGGTTAATTCAGAGGTGAGAATAAGTCCAGCTTAGCAATTTACCAAAATTATGCTTGGTTGGAGCAACCCTGGAAATGATAGGAAAATCAGAGAAAGTGATAATGAAAACATGATTGGAAAATGAGCGGTGATTGATGGAAAAGGAGAAGTTGATGCGAAAATAATGGGACATTGACCGAAAATGATATGAGATTGCTGGGCAAACTATGGGAACCATCAATGTGAGACTGA